GGTATCACTACAGAAGTAGATTGCCCAACCTTCCTTCTGAGGAGTGGCTGGTGGGTTTAAACAGCCAGCCTTCTGGTTAGCAGTCAAGTGCCTTAAACACTATGCTACCAGAGCTCCTCTCTCTCTCTCTCTCTCTCTCTATGTATATATATATATAGCCAAATTTCCAATAGAGTCAGGCTGCTATCTTTCATAATTAAATCTCCATTAAGAATTGCATCTCAGCCTATTAAAAATCTGTTAACTAAAAATATGCTCACAGACCCCTATTGTAATTCTAATCTATCAGTTAGTTCAAATATTTCTTTTGGCATTCCTGAGCTCCATTACAATGAGAACCATTGAATCTCCTAAGAATAAAAGGTCTATAATTTGTGTGTGTGCTGTTTCTGGAACTTGTAAACAACAAAAGAATCACAATATTGTTGGTCTTCTTTAGGAATCTGAATATACTTGTTTGATCAAGAACTTCTCTATTCAGAATTCTTCAATAACATCCTCCACAGCCTACCCAAACACCCAAACCCACAGCCACTGAGTTGATTCCAACTCATAGCAGCCCTATAGGACACAATAGAACTGTCCCACAGGGTTTCCAAGGCTATAAATCTTAATGGAAGCAAACTGCTTCACCTTTCTTCCATGGAGCGGCTGGTGGGTTTGAACCACTGACTGGTTAGTAGCACAATGTTTAAACTACAGCTCCACCAAAACTCCTTCACAACCTAAAGAGGGAAAAATATTTGTGTACCTTTGCCTGGGATAAAAAGCCTCATAAGATCTGGTCTGTCACTGCCTAGTAGGCATCTTTCCTACTAGCTCTCCCTGCTTATCCCTTTATAATATTTTATGCTTTGACAGTGCCATCACACTCATTCCTTGTTCCCTCACTATTCCAGGCTCCCTCAGGCCTCCATGTTTTCCTCCTTATATTCTCATTGCCAAATATCTTCAACCTACTTACCCACCTGGCAATAGCCCACTCATCCCTCAGGTCTCAACTTGCCTGCTCTATGATGTTTCCCCAATTCCCCAGGTAGACTTAGCTGATCTTTTTCATATACTCTCATTGCCCTTCAATCACTTTGTTTTGTAGCAATTACCTAATAGAACTGAACTGAATATGCTTAGATATCTTCCTCCTCATTAGAGCAAACATCTTGATGTCAGGGGTTATGCAGCTTCAGCTGAGAGCACAAGGCACAGTGCCTGGCAAACAGTAGACAGCCATTAACACTCATTCCCTAAATGATTGATGGCATTAATGAAGGAACAAACAATATGGTATTTGCCTTTGGCAGTTCCAAAACAATTCATCCTCTGCTTTTGTTTTCAAAACTAATTCAAATTTGAAGCACAATCAGAAACAACTACTACAACTGTATCAAGTCTACAAAATTATTTCACTTGGGTCTGTTAAACTCCATACAAATTGATCTAAAAAAAAAATCAAACTCACTGCCGTCCAGACCTATCCGACTCATAGCAACCCATCCTTGAGTTTCCAAGGCGGTATCTCCATAGAAGTAGATTGCCCAACCTTCCTTCCAAGGAGTGGCTGGTGAGTTTGAACCACTAGCCTTCTGGTTAGTAGTCAAATGCCTTAGACACTACACCACCAGAGCTCCCATATATATAGTTAAAGATGATTAAAGTGGAAATGTTATATGTATTTCATATTTTAGAAAATTGGTTTAATAGATTTTTCTAAGTATTACCCAAAAGTACTCCAGTTAGAATTAAAAAAATAAAAGGAAGTCACAGCTCATGTTTGCTGTGAAAAAATGGGACTCAAAAAAATGTGGATTTGCATGTCAACAAGGCTCAAAGTGCTATTTGGCAGAGAATGACATCCTTGGGCTTCATGGATTATCTTGCAAAAATATTTGATCAGTTGTAATAATATTTAAATGATTTAAATTCATCTACAAACATAGATCACTCACAATTCCTGTTCACCCAAGACTGTAGAGAGAAATTTGTTATTAAGAAATAGAACTTATTTCATATTATTATACATTAGATGGGGAAAAAAAAGATGTTTAAGTATTAAGGAGCAAGGATAGGAGTTCATTGAGCATCTAATCAGTCACTCTGCTAGAGTCTTACAAGACTTATAAGTCTTATAAGACTTATACATGAGTCACTGGAATGTCAGAACAACTCCATGAGGAAATTCCTAGATGGTAAAATTTAGACTCAGAGAATTTAAGTGATTTGTTCAAAGTTATAAAGTCTGTGTGGTACTAAAAGAAGTTCTCATCAGAGTCCTTCAATATAGCTTCCTTATTGATTTACCAAATGGATGAATGAGTGAATGAATGAAGAAATCATGAAGTCCCATTGTCACAAGGCCTAACTCCTTCTGACATTAGCTTTTTGGATGCGGACTTAAAGTGTCCTATCATTTTCTAGAATATATCATAGGTGTGCTGTGCCACTTAACCTGGTTCAGAGGATCTTGGGATTCTCTCTGAAATCCTAAAGCGCAATAATCATTTAGTCATCTGCCACTCTCTTTCCCAAACTGAGGTTGTCTGTGCCTCAGTAGGGCATGCAAAATGTTTTGGTTACTTCATATTGCTCAAACAGAAATACCACAGGTGGATGGCTTTAACCAACAAGAGTTTATTCTCTTATAATTTTGGAGTACCAGGGTCTAGGAGCTGGGTGAAAGCCCCTCAACCTTGGGTTTCAGCTCTGCCTCTTGCTCCTGGCCCACTGGAGCTAGAGACATCTCTTCACTCAGGTAGCTGCTGACTGTTGAGGCTGACAAACCCAAGATTGACAAGGAAAATGGCACAATGCCAAAATTATCAAACCAGACACCAGGCCACTAATTCAAGTCCATTAACAGTCCTTAAATCGGCAGACAACATGGCAGGCTGCTGAATGATGACCCAGCTACATGAAGGATTCAAACACGCCAAATGCAGTAGACCATTCCCAAAGCTTCTCCTTACATACTGAAAGCAGACCACATTCCCTAAAGCAGCTACTCAGCCGCTCGCAGCAGAGTCCACCATGGACTTAATTGTCAGTTTCATCAGGGGAATAACTACAACCAGCTGCCCAGCCACTCAAAACCAGGCCCAGCCAACCTGACACATAACCTGAACTACCATGCAAAGGATCAATTGACTCCAGAGCACAAGGTAACTATGAAGTAATGAAGTTATGTTTAAGACAATTTTCTTTAGACAAGGGTTAATGACCTAATGCCAACATTGATTTGTCTCATACATCAAAGGGTTGCACATAAAAAAAAAAATCAGTAATCGAAGTATTTAATTTATTAAACCATTAATCAACTACTTCCTACACTTGAAAATAGGTCTAAATGCCCCATCCATATTTAATTCATTTTATGATAATGGTCACAAAGTTATATTAGAATCCCATACCATTTCTCAAGTAAAATCACTCACTTGGACAAACCTTGGAAAGTTTTCTTCTTAATCTATCCAGTTGTGATATGAACTATTTTGAGGAAAAATGTTTTGATGAGCCAGGAGGTGTTGACATATGACCCAAGAGCTGTTCTGCAGAACATCTGCCATAAATCCTTGACTCTCAAAGCAGTTTACACTAATGCCATCTTGCAATAGGGTAATGGATGACTGGTTAATTTGTGTTTTGAAAGAGCGTACAGGGCAATCTTTCTAATTCCTGTCAGAAATATTCTTTTTGTTATTGATGCAATTATGCTGAGATTAAAGTGTGAAGTCTGCTGAGGACTGTCGAATAATATCTTTTCTTTCATTCTTCTCCCTGCATCCCCAAACGTGCATATACCTTGTATATGAATTTTCTTTAAAAGATTATTTGGTGTTTGACTAACTCTGGAGGTGGAGTAAAGTAAATTGATCCGGGGGTGTTGATGAAATTCTGAGAGGCTGTTTATCTGCCAAATACTAATGAGCATGTAGGAAAACACTCCACCTGCACAGGGGCTGAGTCTTGGCTTGTGGCAAACAGCCTCCTGAAGCAAGCACAGACTTGGTCTGGCTGAATGCAGACAGAAGACACATGAATTCCCCAAAAGACAATAGAGGTTCTTTTCATTACAGGAAAAGGGACCATA